AGCATACTGGCTAGGGAATTCTGGGAGTTGAAGTCCACCCATCTTACAGTTCATTAGCATACTGGCTAGGGAATTCTGGGAGTTGAAGTCCACCCATCTTACAGTTCATTAGCATACTGCCTAGGGAATTCTGGGAATTGAAGTCCACCCATCTTACAGTTCATTAGCATACTGCCTGGGGAATTCTGGGAGTTGATGTCCACCCATCTTACAGTTCATTAGCATACTGGCTGGGGAATTCTGGGAGTTCAAGTCCATATGTTTTCCAGTAGAATAACATACTGGCTGGGGAATTCTGGGAGTTGAAGTCCACCCATCTTACAGTTCATTAGCATACTGGCTAGGGAATTCTGGGAGTTGAAGTCCACCCATCTTACAGTTCATTAGCATACTGGCTAGGGAATTCTGGGAGTTGAAGTCCACCCATCTTACAGTTCATTAGCATACTGCCTAGGGAATTCTGGGAGTTGAAGTCCACCCCTCTTGCAGTTGCCAAGGTTGCCTTTGGAGGGACGCAACGCCCACCCAGCTGCTCTGAAATATTTCCATCAGCGATGAATAAAGAGCCAATCTTCTCCTCCCAACAGCTGATCCATAAACCCCGAGGTTTGTCCAGCAGCCAGTTAAAACACCTGACCGCCCAGCTGGATTTGCAACGCCTCTGGAAGACTTACCTGCAGCCCATGCTGGTGGAGAGGTATCCCGGCAGCCAGGGCAACCTCAGGATCCGGCAGGTGAGTTGGTACCCGCTGAGATTTTGGCATCCAGAAAGCTTGATGGAGAAAATGCTGTCCCAGGAAAATAATATTTCTCATTAGCTCGAGAAGCTTCCAGCAAGCTTGGATGGCATTTAAGCTTACACTAAATTTATATACAGTCCTCCACTTAACAACAGTTCATTTAGTGACCCGAGTGACGACAGCATTGAAAAAAAGGGACTTATGACTGTGTTTCGCACCTACGACCATTCCGCTTCCCAAGATCACATGATCAAAATCCAGACCCTTGGCCACCGACTCATATTTATGACGGTTGCAATGTCCCAGGATCACGAGTTCCCCTTTTGTGACCTTCCGACATCAATGGGGAAGTCGGATTCACTCAACAACCGTGCTATTAATGTAAGAACGGCCGCGATTCATTTAACAACCGTGCTATTCAAGAAAGGTGGTAAAATGGGGTCAAAGCTCACTGAATAACTATCTGGCTTTACCAGCCTAAATTCTGGGCTCAGCTGTGGCCGTAAACCGAAGGCTGCTTGCATTAGCACTCGGAGAGGACTAGAAACTTGAACAAGTGATTAGGCTGGTCTTCATGCTGAGTTTTTCTGGATTTCTCTTCAGTTCATTGTGGAACGGTTGAAAGCCCTGAAAGCTTCTTGGCAGGTGGAATTAGACGCTTTCGAGGACCGCACCCCGCATGGCACAGTCAGCTTTGCCAACGTGGTGGCCACGCTTGACACCGCGGCCACCTGGCGCCTGGTCTTCGCCTGCCACTACGACTCCAAATACTTCCCCCGAGACAGACACGGACGGGTTTTTGTGGGCGCCACCGATTCGGCCGTGCCCTGCGCCATCCTGCTGGAGCTGGTCACGGCGCTGGACAACCGGCTCCTGAAGGCCAAAGACCAGGTGAGGAGGGAGTAGAGACTAACGGTTAGAGCTGGCAGTGCACCGTCGTCATCCTTCCTGCCTGTTTGGGTTGAGATGCTTTTCAATGCGGAAATAAATGCATTTCTTTTCCTCAAAGTATTGGAAAGGAAACATTTAAAGCATCCTGTTTTAAATTTGCGCGTAAAAAAAAAAGGAATTTTGGAATTGGGCAAGGTGGATTTGGCCAAGGAATAAATGGCAGTTCCAGAAAACCTGGAAAATACTTTCCACGGATATTAGGAATATAAGCAGTGGGTTGAGAGGAATAAATCCCCCAAACGTGGCAACTTTTAAGACCTGTGGGTTTCAATTCCCAGAATTCCCCAGCCAGTTATGACCTGGGTGGGATGACATCATCAAGCGGGCGACATCATAGGGACTTCAACCAGTTCCTTTAAGTACAGGGGTGTTCAATCTTAGCAGCTTTAAGACTTGTGGACTTCAACTCCCAGAATTCCCCAGCCAGTTATGACCTGGGTGGGATGACATCATCAAGCGGGCGACAGCATTGGGACTTCAACCAGTTCCTTTAAGTACAGGGGTGTTCAACCTTAGCAGCTTTAAGACTTGTGGACTTCAACTCCCAGAATTCCTCAGCCAGCTCTGCTGGCTGAGGAATTCTGG